TGGCTTTCAATATTCTAATGAACATGATTAACATAGTGTTGTGTTATTAACTTCAATACTAAATTTCCTGTTGGCAGGAGATTTTTGCAGCTTTCAAAGTAGCTTCTTTGAATGATCTTGTAGTAAGTCTAATAAATAAATTAATAAATTTCTCTCAGTGGTAAGTTTTTGAAGTTGAAATTCTCTGCAGCCGTGGATGCTCATGCTCTTTGTGAATTTGTAAATACTCCTTTTACCTCAGCATTGAATGCAAGCTTGTTAAATAACCTCTTGCAGGTAGAGGTACTTTAATGGTGGTCTATTCAAGAGATCTGTCAAGCAGTCTCACCATATAACATGTTGATGTTTCAGGCTAATAATTCTGTTTTACTACTATGAGAAACTTTAGGCTTAAAGAAAAATTAATTTATCTGATATTGCTCCTTAATTGGCACTAAAGACAACTTTATATGAATATCTGGAACATCTGTTAGGGCTGCCGATATTTATTATGGTTATTTCACAGCAGGAATATTCTAGTGGGAATATACAAGTATTGTATGCAGTAATGGTCTTTGTGGTAAGCTTTCTTGGGCAGTCTAATGTTGAGTTTTCAGTCATGTTGTTTGATGTGGACTTTATATCTACCATTAGCCTTTATAAATAAGATACTGAGCATCCTAATGTTGTTTAGGTTGGAAGAGCTTTTCGGTGGGCTATCTGGTCTGTCCCTTAGCATCACGGCAGAAGCAACTATATTATTCTCAAATAATTCCTAATAGGTGTCCAGCCTTAAATATCTCCCATGATGGTGACTTCACAATCAAGTTTTGCAGCTCACTTCATTATCTCACCATTCTTCTTAAAGTTGTTTCTAACCACCAACTTAAGCTTTCCCTTTTATAAATTATACCCATAACTACTTGTTCTGCTCTTCTTTGCTTATGAGAGCAGCTGATTCTGACTCTTTCTAATCTCCATCAATATATTTGTGAGCAGCCATCTCTTTTCCCTCTTTTCTTTAGATGTCTAAGAGGACGAAAAAGTGCCCTGTAATAAAGGGAATTAGGAAGCAAGAATTCTATTTTAAGCTGTCCCACAAACTGCTTGTTTGGAGGTTATTTAGCTTTATTTCACAGATATGGAAACTAAAGCATAGAGATGAAAATTTTTTCTTACAGGTGTTGAGGCTATATCAGTCTTCATAAAGCATGTTGATATCCTGAGAGTGGAAGGTTTTATGTCAGTGTAAAGTGTTTGTATTGAATATCACCAGTTTTGTAACCATTCCTCATCTTATTTTCCAATGTTTTTATTGTGGAGAAGCACAGCTGAGAGATGAGACTTTGAAAATAGCTGAAATTGCATTTTAAACTAGTTAATTTTTTTGAATATGTAGCTGACTCAGTTTGCCTATAAACTTCAGATTTGTAAAATTCAAGAGTCCTTTGAGAGCTAGCGCCTAGGACAATATTTGATTGGATGAGGTGTTTATTTGTGGCATTGCTCACCTTAGAAATTGAAATGTCAGAAGTCCATCAAGTCCCAACACACTTTATGAGAAGCTCATTCAATATCTGACAGACTTGACCGAGCGCTCCATGGGTCTGAGAGTCTCTTAACATCACAGACAGCATGGTGTAGTGCATTTAGCAGAAGCTGCAATTAAGAGTTTCTGAACTCTACTTCAGCTCACACATTATACTATATATACACCCACCACCTTTTGTCCAAGGATCTCTTTCTGCTTTACAAACCAAATTATGCCTCCCAATACTCTTGTGAGGTGTATATGTATCATCTTTATTCCTGTGAGATGGAAGTTAGGAATTGAGGCTCAGATAAATGAAGAGACTTATCAGTGGCATAGCTGTGCTGAAAACCAAGGTCTCCTGACTTGCATTCCCAGTTTAAATATTTGCAGTGACACACCATTAATTTCCTTCTCCATTAGTTTGAGATGACTTCCATAAAGGGCAATGCAGAATAACTTTTATTTAGTTCAGGCAAAGTAATCATGAAACCAGTTACTGGTGCTAGATCTTGTAAAGTCCCTCTTGCATAAATAAAATTATAGTAAATGGAAATAATGTAGTAAAAATGCTGTTTGACTGAGAAATAGAGCTTTAGATTTTATAGTATATACAAAGCTGATTACAGCTTCTAAAATTCCTTGCATAAATCTGTTTAAGTGCAAAAACTGTGATGATAGTCATTCAAGTACACAAAGACAAAAAGGATTAGCGTTCAGTGACATCTAAGTGTTTTACAAATTGAAAAACTTTTCTATTTAGAGCTGCAGGCAAACATTCAGCATGTTCATCAAATATTCATTTAATAGAAAAAGCATTGTAGTAAATAGAAACTGATACTGTAGTGAATTTTACATTTGTCATCAATCCATACTCTAGATCAATTCAATCCAAAATCTATTCTTGATAGGATTAACAGCTACATTATGATTTTATAGACTTTTTCTGCAAAATGTTCATATGCTGTTTTCCCCTGACAACACATTGAAGTATAAAAGTGTTTTCATGTATACTTTAATGCCTAGGTACTCAGTTTTGTGCCATCATGGGGTTTGAAGAAAAAATTTCAGATATTTTGTATTATGATTTGATTAAACTTTCTGTATAGTTAAGATTTCATAGCAAGGTTAAAGAGCTGCTTTAGTAACTAAATATTCATTATAAGCCTGTTTGTTTTTTAATCTTGCCAGTCAATCTCCAATTTACTTTAGAATAATAAGTAAAAAAAATTCTACCTGTAACATCAAATATGGCATTTTGCTAGAAGTGAAACAGTCTGAAATTTTTGGAAAAATCTGCCTAAATATTTGAGAAAAGTGGGAGTTTGAAAATGAGAATTTTCACTTTTGTGAAAGCAGGAAGGCTGCATGACTACCTTTGTAGGAATTTAAAGACTGTAGTTAATCTTTCAAAGCTTAGAGCCTCTGCAGAGTTAATAAAGTCTGCAAAGTCAGCTTGAGGGACTTTGAGAAGGTGGCAGATGTAGCTGTGAAAAACTAGGGTGTAATACTACCAAGCAGGAGACAAGATATGCTAATTTAAACAGCTGTCACTTTGGATGTAATCATTTGCATTTTGATGGAGAAAAAAATACCATAGTTCCTCATGGAAGTGGAGGGAGGATTATCAGTTTTCTATAATGTTAAAGAAATTCCCAGGCAAAATCCTTGAGGAAGTTACAAATACGTGGAAATACATAGTTAAGGTTCCACAAACAACCTTAACTCTGACATTGTATTGGCACCTATATTTTGTCTGTCTACCAACAGTCTCTTTGCATCCAGCCACATTGTCATGCCACAATACTTTGTTTGTTTTTCCATTATGGACAACACATCGTGAACTTTTCTACTGGAAATATAGATCCGTAAACTGCTTCCAACTCATCATATCTGTGCCATCAACCCAAACTCTTCTCCACCCACACTTTGACAACTGGAATTGCAGCATTTCCTTTCATTCTCTGCATGCACTCCAGAAAGAACTTTATCAGATCCACTGTTAACTAAAAGTTGGACTGTCTGTGTTCCAACTGCAAAGAATAATGTGCCTCTCATATTTCACAATACATTCCTCCTTCATAACCACACATGCCTCAAACACTATGTTGTAAGAGACTGATTTCTGTGTACCATCTCTGAAAGTACCTACATGTAAAATAGTTGTATGTGTATGTAGGCATTGTGTGTCATGTCCACCTCTCTCCCTAGCCTAATCCACAGTGAGTGTCTACTACAGCCCCCAGCTATACAGCTTGACTTTTCAGCTGAAGCTGTAGAAACTCATGCTTTTAGCTCTTTGGGGTACCTGGTTTAATATCCAGTATGTTGACCAAGATGACAGCTGTCGCATATACATCTTGTATACCTGAATCTCTAGGTAAATCGAGGGATGGGCATGGGGTCAGAGTAAAGCTTAACTGTGAAATCTTAAATATAAATTTCCAGATTTTTCAAACTTCTGTTTTTTATAAAAATTTTCAAATGAGATTTGAGTGATTTGACTATGGTTATTTATAATTTTAATTCATCGTTTTGTCTGGGATTCAACATAAATTCCTGAGCCTCTGACTCTAAATGCGCATAGAATTTGAGTTGAATAAGGCCCTCATCCCACAGTGAGATTTCTGTGGTCAAATATCTGCACTTCTAGAGCACCATTTACCTCTGTAGGGCTCTTTGCAGCTGCAAGTCTCTTGGCCAGGATCTTATTGCAGGATCAAGGCCCAAATCTGCCTGGTGACTTAAGGAGTGTTTTTCTATCCTAATGTTTTACATTTTTGTTAAAATTGTGGTAGTGCCCTCAGCCTGACATGAAGAAAAGATATGCTAGTGCTCTTCAGTTAATATGATCTTTAGAGCTACTTTTAAAATACATTTACAAAATTAATTGATTAAAATTGGGGAAAATATTCTTTATAAATTAAATGGCCACTAAAATTTAGACTGTGTTAACACTGTTATGTGATGGAAAAAGTTAGTTTGTGAATTATTTATAAAATTCATCCATTTGTAACTAAAAAGTTAACAACAAATAAGCCTCTACTTTTGTAAGTTTGTATATCATTTGGCCATTTTGTTACAGACACTGAAAGCCAGCAGAGGGAGCACACATTGAGTAACCAATCTAATTCCCAGAGCAATGCTGATGGCAAGGAAGAAAAGGAGGCAGACTTTAGTTGGCTTTTATTTAATCGGAAGCAAACGTAATCTTTTGCAAAATGAAAAAGGACAAACTATTAAACCGGGAAATGTTAGTTCCAGATTTCTAAGAAGGTGTTGTTAAGAAAGGAGAGTGTTAAAATACGCATTAAGAACTCTTAAAAAAATATGAATGGTATCCCATTGTCAATTGCTGCACTTCCAAGTTACTCATGCTTGTGGTTCCCAGTATTTTTGTTCCCTTTGTATGGTATTAGTAGAGCACATCAGACATAAGTAAAAAAAAGACCCAGATTTCAGTAAAGCCATTTTCAAACTTCAATTTTAGGGCAGCAGCAATGACTCTAAGGACAGTGTTGTTATCATTGCAAGCACTGTTGGCAGCTGCAGAACCAGACGATCCACAAGATGCAGTAGTGGCAAATCAGGTAAGATGTTCAGTGAACTACGTCAAACAAAAACCTTTTATTAATTATCTTCCTCTTAAAGGGACCTTGTCTATTAATATTTCATTCCAAATTTAGGTTTTGGAGAAAATAGCTTTTATAGATATTAAGGCCAAATGACAAACTGTTTAAAAAAAACCCTGCTCCTTTGCTATTTTTGCAACCCCGACAGTGCAGCATTGAGAACCTGGAAGTGATACTGGTTATAATAAAATCAAGTTTCATTTTTGTTTATTTTTCCTTATTTATTCTGAGAGAAATGCAAAGAGTAAACAGCATAATGAAAAGTTACATTGAATTAAAAAAATTTCATCTTAAATAATCTAAAGAGTTATGAAGGAAGCATCCTATGTATTTGATGTTTGCAGACTCTCAAATTAACTGTTTTAGTTAATAACCTAATTGATATTAATAGAATTGTAGTTGGCTTGTAAAACTGGCTGGCCCAGTATACAGAGACAGAAAGTAGCATTAGCTTGAAAATAGTCTTAGTGTAATGTATTTTACTAGAACTCATGTGTGGCCATTTAAAAATTTGTCGAAAACTAGATACAATCAATCCACAAGTGAACATTTTGTTAACTTTTGTTGAACAAAGCCGCAAACATTGCTTCTGTAAGTCAGAGGGTAAAAGGTGAAGGCCCCTGTGAACTTCATAGTGGCAAAGGAAAAAAGCGGAGTGCTTCCAGTATCTAGTAAGCTTGTACATCTGACTTACATGTGTACATTCTATAGAGCAGGGGTTCTCAAACTGTGGGTTGGGACCCAAAGTGGGTCGTGACCCTGTTTTAATAGTGTCACCAAGGCTGGTTTAAGACTTGCTGGGGCCCGGGGCCAAAGCCTGAGGGCTGCAGGGCGCAGGTTACAGGTCCTCTGCCTGGGGCTGAAGCCCTTGAGCTTCAGCTTTGGCCCCTTGCCAGGGGCGATGGGGCTCAGGCTTTGCCCCTCCCCCTCTCCCCGAAGTTGTGTAGTAATTTTTGTTGTCAGAAGGCTGTTTCAGTGCAATGAAGTTTGAGAACCCCTGCTCTAGAGTATGTTTAAAAGTGTGAAGGCATACTGTTGAAATTCTGGACAGGAAGTGTAAGGGTGCCAGGACGACAGCTGAGTAAATAATGGTCTTTTGGGTTCATTGGCACTTCCAAAAAATCAAAGAAATTGTTGCGGATTGAACAAAAGATTTTATTTAGTTTGAGCATTTCTTTTACTTTTAAAATACAATTTACAAAATGTGAAGCAAACAATTGAAAATATCAAAACTGAACATTTTCAGATAACTTTTTTTTACCAAGACAGTTTTGGCAAAACATTGTGATGCCACTAAATTTTGCCCAGCTCCAGTCAGGTCCCCCTTTCAGTGGTTCTGAAACTTTTGTACTGATGACCCCTTTCACATAGCAAGCCTCTGAGTGCGAGCCCCCTTATAAATTAAAAACACATTTTAATATATTTAACACCGTTATAAATGCTGGAGGCAAAGTGGGATTTGGGGTGGAGGCTGACAGCTCGCGATTCCCCCATGTAAAAACCTGGTGATCCCCTGACCCCCAGTTTGAGAACCCCTGCCTTATCTGACTTGTCACTCTAAGCTAGCAGGTTTTTGAAAGATTTACAGTAGTTCCCTACTATGCCAAACTGACTTTCAGAAAAAAGCAGACAGACCAAACTGAGATCAGTGCTTCACTACCTGGGAGAAGCTGTTTCAGAAACTACACCAAAGTTCCTGCTCTCAGTAGCAGGTGCAGACATCCTAGAAAGCACTGATATAACCATGTTGTAATGCTTGCTGTGTGAATGAATGCACCCAAGCAGTTCTCTCAGAGCCCGAGTTGCTGTGTGCATGCCTGAATTGTTGCAAAGGCAAGCAAAGCTACCAGATATTTTGTATAAAGCTTGACTGCACTAGTAGTTTTCTTGCTAAGTGTACATTCATCCTTGCTCTCACATTGGTGTTTTTTTTCCCCGTTTAAAATAAAAACTGTATTGCTCCAGCAATGACAACTGAAATATTATTTCCCTCCCTACATACTGACAGTGGGATTTATAAGGGCAGTCTAACAATCTTCTAGCAATATTGATGGTGAAGAGGTATTTCTCTTCAGAAATGAAAAACCTTTGTACCTTTTGCCAAAAGTTCTCCTTTTGGGCTAAACCACTGAGTGCTGAGGAGCAATGCTCTGTGTCACTTCACACCAGGGTTTTACGGTGGGGGCGCCCAGTGATTCTGTGGCTCTGCTGTCATAGGGAGGATTTCGATGCCCCCACTCCCTGCAAAGATCGACAGAAAGGTAATTTTACTGGGTTTTGCAAAGGTATACAGATTTAGCTCTTAATTACAACAGTTGGTGTTTTTACATGCAACTGTCACTAATGTGTTAGTGTAAAGCAGGGGTAGGAAACCTATGGCATGTGTGCCAAAGGCGGCACGCGAGCTGATTTTCAGTGGCACTCACACTGCCTGGGTCCTGGCCACCGGTCCAGGGGGCTCTGCATTTTAATTTAATTTTAAATGAAGCTTCTTAAACATTTTAAAAACCTTATTTACTTTACATACAACAATAGTTTAGTTATATATTATAGACGTATAGAAAGAGACCTTCTAAAAACGTTAAAATGTATTACTGGCACGTGAAACCTTAAATTAGAGTGAATAAATGAAGACTTGGCACACCACTTCTGAAAGGTTGCCGATCCCTGGTGTAAAGAATAAAAGTTAGCAAAGAAACTAATTTAAATATAATTTGTTATACAATATAAATACATATATACAATATATTTTATATATTTTCAGATTAAACATTCACAAGGATAATCCCCCACACGCTTGTTGGAATGTCATTTTCATAGAGACAAGGTGGGTGAGGTAATATCTTTTATGGGACCAACTTCTGTTGGTGAAAGATGCAAGCTTTCGAGCCACACAGAGCTCTTCTTCTGGTCTGGGAAAGGTACTTCCAGTGTCACAGCTAAATACAAGGTGGAACGATCAGATCGTTTAGCATAAGTAGTTAGCACACATTCTAAGGGACCATTCAAGGTGAAGTAGCATGTTAACATCTCTGCTGTCATAGGACAAAAAGAGGGAGTTAATGAGTTACAGCTTGTTGTAATAAGCCATAAATCCAGTGTTTCTGTTCAGTCCATGATTTCTAGTAGAGTTATGAATTTAAGCTCCCAGGCTTGTCTTTTGAAAGTGTTGTGCAGGTTTCCTTTGAGGAGGAGGACTGTATTAGGTGTTAATGGGTCACTCTGTCTTGCATGGTCCCTGAGAATGTGTTTAACTATGCAGGCTAAACAATCTGTTCCATCTTGCAGTTAGCTGTACATTGGGAGTACCTGAAGGAGAGCTCTGTGTGACTTGAAAGCTTGTCTCTCTCACCAACAGAATTTAGTCCAATAAAAGATATTGTCTCACTCATCTTGTCTCTCTAATATCCTGGGACTGACATGGCTACAACTACACTGCATGTATTCTCATAAACATTTTAAATTCATGAATTTATTTGCACGTGTTGAAGTACCATGTTTCCATGTAATAGACATAGGGTTCCAGCTACACCTCTTGCAGATGGGATTTAAAGCCAAGAAATGTCCACAACCAAGTCTAGTTTTAGAACTTTGCAGCTCATTTAAGTGTAGTACAGCAATCTAAGGATCTAGATGCAGAGGTGTATGCAAATTTTCCCTGCTAAATTTCTCAGTCATTCAATCAGTTACCAGATATTTACCAGTAACTACAGACACTTGTGCATGTTCCTGAAGCACTAAAACATAGGCCTTGGCTACACTCGGGACTTCCCAGCGCTGCCGCGGCAGCGCTGGGAAGCGCAAGTGTAGTCGTGCCGCCAGCGCTGCGAGAGCTCTCTCGCAGCGCTGTATGTACTCCACCTCTCCGAGGGGAATAGCTTGGAGTGCTGCGAGCGAGCGTGCAGCACTGCAGGCTCTGATTACACTGGCGCTTTACAGCGCTGTACTCGCTGCGCTCGGGGGAGGGGGGGCGTTTTCACACCCCTGAGCGCAGCAAGTTGCAGCGCTGTACAGCGCCAGTGTAGCCAAGGCCCTAGACTTGAATAAGGTTGTTATGCAAAAATTCTCCATTAAACAATTTTAAACTTTTCCTCTTCTCAAAATGAAGCCTAGAAAGCAAACAAATGAACTAATAGTGTTCTGAAATATTACACCTCTACCCTGATATAACACAGCCTGATATAACATGAATTCGGATATAATGCGGTAAAGCAGCGCTCCAGGGGGCCGGGGCTGCGCACTCCGGCGGATGAAAGCAAGTTCGATATAACCCGGTTTCACCTATAACGCGGTAAGATTTTTTTGGCTCCCGAGGACAGCGTTATATCGGGGTAGAGGTGTATTTTAAAATATAGCTTGAAAAAAAACCTTCATGGATTTATTTTTGGATCTCAGGGAAGGAACAGGCAAAAACTTTAGGATGCTATTAATAGTTAAGTATTTATTTTTTAAAAGAACAAACTTTTTTTGTGAACATTTGGTTTGTTTAAACTTTCCTTCAGTTGTAATGACAACACAGTGCTATTTATTGGCCACTCCATGAAATGGATTGCTTCCATTTTAGGGGACTTCCCCCAACCTTAATGGTAGTCATCTTCATCTGTTACCATTGCATTTTTTAAGGAGCATTGCTTTGTAAATTATATTGTAATGTATAATTCATTTTGAGATTATACGAATGACACAGATTGTAACCTCTTTGGGGCAGGGACACACCTTTTTTGGGCAGGGGAGGTGGTGTACAGTGCCTAGCACAATGGGGTTCTGGTCCATGACTGGTCTCCTAGGCCAGTGGTGTACACACTCTTGGGGGTACGCAGAGGTCTTCAAGAGGGTACATCAACTCCTCTAGATACTTGCCTTGTTTTACAACAGGCTACGTAAAAAGCACTAGCGAATCAGTACACACTAAAATTTCATAAATTACTTGGTTTATACTGCTTTATATACTGTACACTGAAATGTAAATACAATATTTATATTCCAATTGATTTTTTATAATTATATGGTAAAAATGAGAAAGTAAGCAATTTTTCAGTAATAATGTGCTGTGACACTTTTGTATTTTTATGTCTGATTTTGTAAGCAAGTAGTTTGTAAGTGAAGTGAAACTTGGGGGTATGCAAGACAAATCAGATTCCTGCAGGGGGTACAGTAATCTGGAAAGATTGAGAGCCACTATCCTAGGTGGTACCACGGTACATATAACTTATTGTAATATAAATACCCCCCCAAAAAAGTGTAGTACTAATTTCATGACAATGTTATACAGATTTAAAACGTCTGATGTTTCCTTGTATAAAAAAAGACGTTCAAAACAATAATCAACCATACATTTCAGTGTCCTTCAGGATATGCCCCAGGTCTGTACCTCTCTATCTTTAAACCATACGTGGACAACGTTTTCCAAGCACTGTCACACTGATCACATAATTCAGGACCCTAAAAAATGTACACCTTTAAGAAGGTGGAATTGAAGGGAGATGTTTATTTCAAAACAATGTGATTTAAACTTGCTGTAAAAGTATGTAAATCTCCAATTTTAAAAAACTGTTATTAAATATAAGGATTACTAAAACAGGAAGCTCCTATCTTGCTGATTTGAAAATGTAATTTGTGACAAATGAAGCATACCTCAGCTTTTGAATGCCTGACATAGGCTGGAAACTTTCACTGTTGTTTTAGGGTAAAGTTCTATTACTTATTAGAAAATTTGTTTTTTGGCAGTATTAGTGTAAAATACTACTGACATCTTCCACACAATTTTTCTAGTAAGTAAACCTTCCTTCAAAACCGTGGCAGGTCTTCAGCCATTTCCATGTGACCATCTGTTTCTCAGCTCTTTTTTTGGTCACAAATGATATCAATATACCTACTTCCCAGGAGGAAGTCCAGTAGTAAAATGGCAGCCCTCATTGAGACATTGCAGACCCTTTCTCAGTAATGAAGGTTCTAAAAAAAGATAGTTTTTTTTTTTTTTTTTAAATAATTTGGGGAACACTGTCAGAAATATAGTGAGTGTGCAATTCAGTGAACGTTACAACACAATGAGTTAGTTTCTGCTCTCAGCTACACTGGTTATGCATATTGCATATCTGGACAAACATCAGTGTAGTTACTCTGGCTTTATGTCAGTAACTGAGCAGAATTGGATTGTACATGTAAAATATATCAAAATATAAATGCAAACTCATTGTTACCTGATACTTGTGAGTAATGTTTTTGTGTAGGTTTGAATCCTCAAACACTAACCAAAAACTCCACATTTCATTTTGGAACTACTATTTATTACAAGATTTGAAGATACTATATATAGAAGGAATTATAGAATGGAATTTGCCTAAGTCAACTAGCCTTTTAATTGGACTTTGCTGAATAGTTATATGGATTCACTTTTTTCTCTTTTTGTATAGTACAAACAAAACCCAGAAATGTTCAAACAGACAGCTCGACTTTGGGCACATGTGTATGCTGGAGCACCAGTTTCTAGTCCAGAATACACCAAAAAGATAGAAAACCTTTGTGCTATGGGCTTTGATAGGGTAAGTATGTGTGTATATATGTGTACTTTTTTTCTTTTCTTTTTTTTTTCTTTACAAGTTAGGAGCCAGGGCAGCCATATATGTAATATGAGCTATAGTTCAAATTATTATAAAAGGTTTGTTACTTTCATAGCCATCAATAAATCTGATCACTTTATTTTGCTGACTGTTGTTGTTGTCCTTGGTGACGATTGGATGTTTAACATACTTTATTAGTACATAAGACATTGTAATTTAGTAATTTTCATTTTATAATTAAATGAATAGATTTTTCTAAGCTTTTAATGGTAAAAATTTTCAGTTGAGACTGTAACGACTGGTAATTTAGCAAATATAAACCTTGATAAATGTGTAAAGTCTTCAGTCTGACCTTCAGTGCTACAGCTGGGTTTATGTGAAGAGCAATTTCACACCCTGAAAAATCTCACTTCCTTTATTTTGTCTTCACAGAATGCAGTAATAGTGGCCTTGTCTTCAAAATCATGGGATGTAGAGACTGCAACAGAATTACTTCTGAGTAACTGAGCCATGTAAAGAGCTGCTTCTGTAGTCCAGCTTTCCCTTTCTGAGGAGCATCACCATCTGTTATTTTTAGGATTCTATATAGATTCTCTTTTAAAACTGGCACTCTTGCCTGACGATGCTATCTAAGCACTATTGGAGACTGAAAAACCGCTCTGTAAATAAAGCTAATTAAACGTCTGTGTAAATTTAAAAGGGGAAATACTTTAATTTTTTCTTACTAAATATTGTAAAAATTCTTTGAGCTCAGCTAAAACAGCGGGGGGGAAAACATGCCTACTTTAGTGTTTAGCAGTGTGACCAAGCCTAGCAGGAATTTGCTTCAGGATTTTGATTTAATTATTCGGATAACATTTTTGAGTGTCAAAGTCATCAAAATTGTTGGTGTCACTCATCACAGCTATCTTACTGTTTTTAACATGGATCCTATGTGCCTGTGGATTGACCTATATTTGCATGCTTGTACTTTACTAGACATTTTAGATAGGGTAGCTGAAGAGAGCACCATTTAAGTACTTGAATGTTCTTGTTAACTTTTTTCCTGAAAACCGTTTCAAGATTTACCCAAAGTTCAAAATGGTGACCTGTTCAGAACCTCTTTCTTAGTCAGGTGACTGGGAAATCTGCTTATCTGCCCTCCCCAACAACACAAACCTAAAATATCATTCTGGATTCCTTTCCATAATCTGTGGGTCTGGGTGCCATTAACAGCTTAGTTGCTTAGTTGCCACTTTAAATAGTATATTTTGAATAACCAGTAAATGTGTTTAACCATCATACTTGCTACACAATCATATAAAGGTTTGGTATGTTTGGACATAGCACAAAAAAGTGGCGCTGCTTTTTTTGTGTGTGTGTGTAATATAGAAGTCAGAACTCCTTCAATAAATTTGGATAATATGAATTCACTGGATTTGGGGGAAGAACAACTGATTCTCTAGTATACTGAGAATTAAAAAAAAAAAAAAAACTATTGAAATTTTTTTCTTCGAGTACTTGCTATGATGCAATCAGCTGTTTTTTGCAACAGCTTTCTAGCTTTATTTTGAGCTTCAGTATAAGGATTGCTTACCAGGTACTTTAAAAATTCACTCGTTTGCATTTTTCCCTAGTTGATACATGGAGGCTGTGTTGGTATTTTTACTGTACATACTTCAAATGCACATAGAAGTAGAAGTGTGTTCTCAGTTTAACTTTCTTTTGGATTGATGTTTCTGATAAACGAAAACTGAAATTACCTTCTCTTGTACATACTCAGTCTTTCTATTCGTATTAAAATTACATTTCATCCTGAGTTTAAAAGCTTGAAAATTATTAGTTTGCAACTTCAAACACTAGTACATCCATCTAAAGAAAGTTGTAATGTCTTTATGGATACAGTTGGATACTTCTGAAAATGCATCAGACATGAAACTTTCAGCTAAAATAGAGAGAAAAGAAACTGAGTAGAGACTGGGGATTGTGGATGATAGTGTACCATAAAAGGCGGCTTTTCCGTGACTATCTTCTCTTAAGCAATAGTCTAACAAGAGTACATTCATTTTGCTTGAACTATAAAATGAGCTGTAAGTGTCATACTTCATAGAAGATCAGGTTTGTAAATGATACTGGAAGCAACGGGGAATATTAATAAACTGTTTGTTAAATATCTGGAGCAAAGTAGACGGGGGAACAGAACTAGAAAATAGAGATGGAAAAGACCTAACTAATGCAGGGTTACTCCCTGCAGTATTCTATCTGTGTTCATACTTTAAAAATACTTGCAGGACACAGACAGTAAATTTTTAATTCATATCAGTGCAATACTAAACCCAGTTGCTATAGTCTTTCTGTACTGCTTTCTAAGGTTTTATTCATTGATCATATTTCTTGAATTTTCTTGCAGTAGTGTAAGTCATTTTCAGAGATGCCAAAGGAAACAAGATTTTTTTGTCTTTCCTTGATATTTATTTATTTTTGTTAACAATTAAAAAGCTGCTACTGCTCAACTGGTTTGTTAGGTAATAGCTAGAAACAGTAGAAAACTATGGCAATTTTGCCATTTGTGTTAAAATCTCAAGTTACTGTCTTTTTCTGTTATGTAGTTTGATAAGAACATTTTGATCATATCATTTACATGTTTTTACCCTGGTGGTAATTGTAAATGGCTGACTTCTTTCCCTTGTTCTTTGCTGCTATTTATTTATCAAAGGGAGGAACTTGGAAATCATTAGGGGACATAAAACTTAATAATTATAGGTTCTGGACCTGTCATTTTGATTATAGGATTAGTCTCTTAGAGACAACTGTGAGCACATCTCAAATGATAACCAGAGCAAAGTTTTCCAAGCATATAAGGGGATGGGAGGGGGTGGTGAGAGAAGAAAAAAGGGGGGATTGCTTTACTTCATCACTGAAACAATTCCCCATCCTGGATTTTCTCCTGCTATTTCCTTCACCCAGTACCTCATTTTCTTTGTGGTATTGCAAAACTGTCGTCCTAATACAGTTCTGTTCAGATGCCAGTGTGTCCTTTCTTTCCACTCTCCCCTCCCATGGAATTAGTAACTAAGGTACTTGACTCAGTGCCAGCTCAGATGCTGGTAGCAAGGCAGTGTCTCGAGCTGGATGTGGAAGGAGAACTGACCCAATATTAAGCAGACATTCATAACTTGAGGTCCCTATGAATTTGAATCCTTTGTAAGGAACATTTTTCTATTCTTTGGTAACTATCAGAGTTGAATATAAGGTTATGTTGTACCAGATTAGTGTAACTGCAGCCAGGGCTGAACCCTAGGAATCTCTTACTGTTTGGGTGTTTAACATAGTGACTTTGTAAAGACTAAATTGTAGTTCAGTTTTTTATGACTGAACATCTCTATATTCAGGGCCCTGTGCATTCATGACTGTGGCATTGCTATACAATCTACTCCTGCTGCAGATTTGTGCAGCACATTTACACTTAGTTTAAAAACATCTAGGCATTATGGCTACAAATAGTTTCCAAATGTAAATTGATGCTTTGTTGTCTTCCTTAGTTTGCAAGCAGACAGCTTAAAACAATAACTGTGAAGTCTGAACAGTCCCATTTATCTCAATAGGTATTAATGCTGTAACTTAGTGACTATCTAAATGTCAGCTAAATTTCACTGATGAACATTTTAGCAACAATATCTAGTTAATGTGGTTTATCAGCTGTTCTTGGATATTGTTGTTGGTGAACAAGAAATTCCAGTCTCCTCTTGCCCCTCACAAATTTTAAAATAGCTTCTGACCTTATTTGGAGGCAAAGAAAAGTTGCCTTTCCTATTGCCAATAGCTTCAACTCCCTCATGGGTGCCAAAAGTTCCATTTGTATCCCATCTAGTTGCCAAAAACTCGACAACTTCTAAGTTCTCAATATGACAAACTGATATATATTGGGAAATTAAAACTTATGGACAATATAAAATTGATTTAATATAAAAGGGACACTACTGATGTTACACCACATTTAAGTAAAAGGCTCCATTTTCTGATTTACCTGAATTTGCCACAAATTTCCAGTCCCAGAGTACCGCCCAAACTAGGGGCCTTATAGCAGAATTTAGGTCCAGCTTGTCACAGAGTACATGGGGCCTTGACTATAATCAGTCAGGCAGTATTTATTTATGGAATTAGGTACTACAAATTTTGTTGAACATAAGTTTTTTCCCCCCTGATTTTCATTGTATTTAACTTTTTTCTTTCAAGTAAATTAGGATTGGGAACACTGATGTATGCATTTGGGGTCTGAAGGAGAAATTAATTAGCCAAAAAGAGACTTATCTTGAAACAGCAGATCTACATTATGTGATGTGGATAATGGAAACACTTAAACTATGCAAAATTAACCTTCATAAAACAGCTGGAAGTCAGGCCTGGCACGTGAGAGAGTACAGATCACTTATTTAACGGAAAACAAATGTGATTTCAAATAAAAGCTCTTGTTTACTGTGGTGGCTGTATACCATTAATGTGAAGAGGTCAGTTTTCAGAGCAAGGGGAGGCTTCACTGTGTGCATGCCCACTGCTTGCTTCCCATGGAAGCAACAAACAGAGCCTGGCTTATTGTTGGAGACAGGCCCAGGAGGGGCTAATGTTAGATAAAATATTTTAGCAGTGAAAGTAAGTTTTAACACCTGTTCAAGGGGGACAAATGGGACCAGGAGTACTCTTGCTATATTTTGAATAGCTAGGTGGTTGTGATGTTAGAGTGGAAGGGCTTCTTTACACAGACATTTAGTTCTCAGCAAGCTGGGGTATAAAGCTATCCCGTACTAACAGTTCCTTACTGTGCTTTGAGTTACTTCAGTTTCAAAGCAGCATAGCTCCAAGTACCGTAAGGAACTGTTAGTACAGGATATACTTTATATCCCAGCTTGCTGAGAACTAAATGTTTGTGTAGAGAAAGCCAAACACGCTTAATGGATGTGCTCATGGATGGTTTTGTAGAACATGTGAGAGCAGAGGATAGTTAAGAATTTTCATTTTTTCCTTGCTTTTTACTGCAGCACAATAGTAAAACATGAAGTAAAGCTTTTCTGGGAAGAGCATGTAGATGTTTTCACTGTTAATAGCCTAATTTTCCAACTGTTGCTTTTGGTGACAGAAAAGGGTTTATTATTTGTCTGTCTTCAATTATGTTTAATATGGATCAGCAATCTATTTCAGTAAAAACATATACTATGATCTTCCCACTTTTACTGTTACAGCTTCATCAGCTGATATATCATTAGATGTGCAAGGTATGTGTTGCTTCTCATTTGGTTATTTCAACTATAATGCTCTGTAGGCAACCTCAGCAACTTTACTTTTCAGATTTGTTACCAATGGACCAATTGTTGCAAATCATTTGCACTGTACTGTGATGTTCCCTCTTCTTACTCTTACCTGCTGGTGGGCAGCATAAAAAATAGCTAGCCAATGGCTTATGAGGCTGAACCATTCACTGAAACCGTAAGTTGAAATACCTAACTCTTAGATGAGGAAATGTACTATGAAAGTGCTGTATTATCCCTCTTACCATTTGCAACAGCTGCTCGTGCTGAAGGAGGCTGTTATCATAGGAATGCTGATTTCAACTGTTGAAGAATCCCACTTGTCAGATACCTTTTCCATCTCAAATTTTGATTTTTTTTTCTAAAGTTAACAAAGAATACTGGAGGAGGTTTGTTACTGAGCATTTAACTTCCTGTAAAGGCTGAGTGGAAATGGGCTGGAATGAAGCATCAGTGTTTTTTGTCTTGAGAATAAAAACTACACAACACTTTTGTACACAAATGATTTTTTAAATAAATACACATTTTAAAAGATGTTGATTTTCACTGGGAATGCTTAACAATAAATGCATGTTTCCCTGAAAAGAGTTTTCATCTGATTTTCTGGTAACACTTCTTCCTCAATCTGAGATGGACTGGGAGGCAGTGCACCACGTAAAGAGGGAGAATGAAGTTCAAGGTAACTTTGATGTTGAACAAGAAATGTGTAAGCTTTTAAGAAAGATAAGTCTGTGTAGGGAGGTGAAACCACGATCAGGAAAAATGCATGTACACTCCAGGTAGGACCTGATGAAGCCTAGAATACTATAGCTGTGGGTAATTAAGTTTTTGACTTTCCTGCAACCATTCCATTAAAAACAGTGATGGTACATTGTTCTGGAGGAACGATATAGCTAACTTGTCAAAAAAAAAAATTTCTGGGCTTTTTTCAACAG